ACACCTGCACACACACCTACAACACACCCAGGTGACTGCACCTACACACCTGCACACACACCTACAACACACCCAGGGGAATACACCTGCACACACACCTACAACACACCCAGGTGACTACACCTACACACCTACAACACACTCAGGTGAATACATCTGCACACAGTACAAGTACACACACCTGCACACACACCTACAACACACCCAGGTGACTACACCTGCACACAGCACACGTACACACACCTGCACACACACCTACAACACACCCAGGTGAATATACCTACACACAGCACAAGTACACACACCTGCACACACACCTACAACACACCCAGGTAACTACACCTGCACACAGCACATGTACACACACATGAAAACTTTCTCTCCTGCGCCCCAGGAGGCATCAGCAGCACATCTGAAGGCTGTGGGTTCACAGGACAGGGGGAGAGCCCTGGGCACAGGTACCAGTGAGGGGTGCCCACCTCACACCCCAGCAGTCCTGTTCCAACACTGTATCGACATTCTGCCACCTCCTTCAGTGTCATGGGAGACCTCTTCTTATCTTTTCATAAAACTTAAGGACATGGTCCAACTGCCCCTTCAGGTCCAACCGCTCAAGCCTTACGCTGGGTCTGGGGCTTTGTAGCCAGTAAACCCCAACGCAGCAGCCATTCACAGTGGGGTACTCTCAGTACAGAGCCTACCTGTCCAGCACGTAGCCGAGAGCCTTGTGCCGGATCCCTGAGTACACAGACGGGCTTGTCTCCCAGGCCACTAGGTTGGATGCGTCGTGGAAGAGGTGGATGTTCACCAGGTCGAAGGTGCTGCAGCAGACAGAGACCCAGTGAGCCAGGTGATAGCTGGCCTGCCCCACCCCACACAGCCCCAAGGCCATCTATCTACTTAGGAAGGGACCCCCAGACTGTGTTGGGCAGTTCCTGGGAGGTGTAGCTGTGTAGGAAGACCTCCTGGAGCTGCCCAGTGAGGCTGGGGCTGTGAACTGAGGGACAGACAGCGGTGACTGTCTTGTCTCCTGTTCCTGTCTCACTGGAATGTAAGCACATCCAGAAGGGCCCAGTATGAAGACCACAGGGATCGCTGGCTGGGAGCCCAGGTCGAGCCCACCCTCTGGACTCTACCTGGGATGCTAGCTGAGCAAGGACCACTCGTGTCATCCTGCAGGGCCTGTATGTGGCTGCGCCCAGCACCTGGGCTGGACACCAGACGATCCTGTCTGTCAGGGTTTGAGGACTGATGGAAAGAAGCCACCAAAGCCCCCGAGGGCACAGGTCCATGGCCCCTCCCAGCCACTACACCTGGGTTAGGGCATTGACCAGCACAGGACAGGGTACCCAGACCGGCAATGTCTGCAGATGACACATCAGAGCAGGTATCTGTGTGCACCTGAGGCTTGAGAAACACTGCTCTTTGGCTCGCTGACAGACAGAAAACAGGTTGTAAGGTTCTGATGGTGGAGACAGTAGGTTAGTGTTACCACCAACACTCAGGTGCTGGGCAGACTCGGGTCACCCGGCTTTGTGCCAGCCTAGGGCCCCCTAAAGAGGCTGCTGGGCACCTCATGCAGCTCTGTGAGCACTCAGAGGAGGGGTCTCCAGGACGACATACCACCCAGCAGACTGAGCTCTGCCCTAGGAGGGAAGGACCAGAGGCCCCAAAGAGTCTCCTGAAGTGCTGAGTCCTGGGGCCCTGGTCTCAGTGAAGAGTCCCTGGTGAGGCATCTGGCCACACCACTGAAAATGCCCAGCGAGAAAGCCATCCAGCTAGCCCCCAAAAGCCAGAGAGCAGCCAGAACCGCATCCTTACCAGTCAGCAACGCACCATCTTGTCCGGATGAAGCCCTTCCGGGACCATTTGCACTGAAAAGGAAACACATGACTGTGTTTCTAATCAGGAAACACTACAACAAACAGAATTGTAACCTCTCAGCATTGAAGGCCCTGTTAAAAACAGTTGACCTGTGTGAGGCATTAAAACACTTTGAAAGTTACTGTTATTTGAAGTTATCATATGAAAGTTCTAACTGTGGTCTGTATGTTGAAAAGCTCACTAGAGACCCAAGGGATAGAGATCAGATCCCAGTGAGACTCGCAGAGGAAGGGGCATGTGTGTGATGGAGATGCTCTGGTGGGAGAGAGAGGCAGACTGTTAGTGATGGAGACTCGGCCCAAGGCTCTGACTGACACTGTGGCCTCTCAGAAGCAGATCATCAGACCTGCCGCCTTCAGTGGCGCTGCTGGTGGGTTCCAATCACCAACCTTTCAGCTGGTCGCCGAAGGCTTCACTGTCTGCACGACCCCAGGACTCACAAGGTAGATAGCGCAGATGGAAAACCTGTGAGCTTGAAGCCATGTCAGTACAAAGGGAAGCAGAGGAAAGAAGACAAGTGATGGAGAGTCAGTGGCGTGCGGGGCAATTTCAGGGAAATGGAAATAAAATATGTGCATGTGAAACAAACGAAGAAGAGGGGCAAGATTCTTTACAGAAAAATAATTCAGGAAAAGATGGCAGAAAACTTTCCAGATTGGGGAAGAGTTCTTATCCATCCCACATTCAGATGCTCAGGAAGCCCAAGCACGAGAAACCTGAATCAAATGACACCAAGGCCCATCCTAATGCAATGTCTCAAAACCAGCGGTAAAGAGAGAAAAAGACACACAGAGCTACAAAGATGATAGAAGATTTGTCAAACACCAGAAGGCAACAGATAAACATCCTAAAAGTATGAAAAGGAAAGAAATTCAAACCTGGCAACCTAGAATTCTATACCCAGAAAAAAATACCTTTCATAAAATGAAGCAAAGTATTTTTCAGACACATAAAAACTGACAAAATTTATCAGCAGACCCACACCACAAAAATACTACATGAAGAAATCCTTCAGGTAAAGGTCAAATGGTGCCAGGATTCCTCTGGAGAAACAACTTGCACCAGACACTGATGAGAAATGTTCCTTGCCTCAGGGTGGGTCCAGGGAAACTTCAAGTCTGGACAATTCCATGTGGACACTTAATTGTCTTTACTGCATACAACTCAGTGGTCCCCACCATTCTCCTCTTAGCTAATTGCCCCTAAAAGTCACACTTCATAAGGGACTCCCTATCTCTTCCATCCCCACTCAGTCCTCAAGCACAGTGTGGTCTCTGCATCCACGTTGTCCTCAACCTCTCACAGCATCTCCTGCGGCCAGCAAAGGTCTTCCTACCTCACTGGTCAGTCTTTCTCCAGCTCCAGCAGCTCTGGAGGCTGGGCTTCTTCGACCCCAGGTGCTCTTCTCCTCGGTGTCCCTCCATGGCGGTGTTAGTCATGGATGGAAACACACACCTGACCGAGGCTGAGGATACGGAACGCCCATCCAGCCATCAAGCGGCCCTTGCCTCAGCTCCCTGGCCTAGTCCACCTCACTTCCCAGTATTGTAGCAGGTATCCCTGGAAATCCTCGGACTCCATCTTTTCTTCCCTCTGGTGGCTTTAGAGATTTTTCTTCATTATCAATGTCCTAAAGTTTCACTAAAATCAGACATACGAGGGGTCATCAAAAAGTTTATGGAAAAGCTTTGTTATGATTGCTTCATAAGCATCTTAGAGCCCTCTCGTATACCTGTAGATCTTTTCATTCCATTTTTTTCATAAACATTTTGGAGGCCCTTGTATCCCTATAAGGTGTTAATTCCATTTTTTCATGAATGTCTTGGAGGCCCTTGTATTCCTATCTATCTGTGTGTGTGTGTGAAGTGAGTGATTAGTTTACATGGGAGAACATCGGTTTTACACTCAGTTTCATTGCAATGATTCCAATCTCCTCTGTGTATCATCATTCAACAGTATTTGCTTTTATTCCCTCTGGTTTTTGTTTTGTTTTGTTTTGTTTGTTTGTCTGTTGGAGGGGGAGATGTACACAAAAACACTCCGGAATATATAATCATTTAAACAACCAAAGGACACCTTCTGAAAGCCTGCCCCATGGCCACCAGCACCTGGCGGTCAGCACACAGCCTTTCTCTTTCCATGAGTCTAGATGAGAGCATGGAAACAGTGTCCTCTCCATGTCCTCATCTCTGCCTCCACCTCTCATGTCACTGCTTCTCTAGAGAGAGTCCCACATTCCATCTGTGCTCCTGTCCCTCGATGGTCCTGGGGTTCTCTATTCCTGGACTGACGGCAGTTAGAGAACCAAACAGAAGAACACACTCAGCATCTCACAAGCTAAAAAAAACTAAAGAAAAAATTTTCATTACAAAAATACGGAATGATACAGAAAGCATGAAAAGAAGATGGAAGGAATGCATAGTCACCGTACCAAAAAGAAACATTTGAGGCTCAACCATCACAAGAGGTAGCATATGATCAAGAGCCAATGGTACCACAGAAGTCCAAGGTGTGCTGACAGTAGTGGTGAAAATCAAGGCTCTAGGAATTGACAGAATACAAATCAAAATCTTTCAACACACTGATGTAGCCCGGGAGGCGATCATTCGTATCAGCCAAGACACTTGGAAGACAACTATCTGGCCAACTGATTAGAAGAGACCCATATCTGCATCCATTTCAAAGAGCGGTAACCCAACAGAATGCAGAAACCATCAAACAGTATGGTTAACGTTATATGAAAGGAAAATTGTGCTGAAGATAGTTCAAAACTGGTTACAAAAGTACATCAACCAAGAACTGCCAGATAGTCACGCTGGACGGAGGGGAGGATGTGGAATAGGGAAATCATTGCTGATGTCAGATGGATCTTGGCTGAAAGCAGAAAATACCAGAAAAATGTTTACTTGTGCTTTACTAACTATGCAAAGGCTTTTGACTGTGTGGCTCATGACCAAGCTCTGGACAACACTGCAAAGAATGACTGGTCCAGAACATTCCACTGTGCTCCTGAAGGACCTGGACACAGACCAAGAGGCAGTTGTTAGAAAAGAACAAGGGGACACTGAATGGTTTAAAATCAGGAAAGGTGTGTGCCAGGGCTTTAGATGAAAGGTGTGTATCCTTTCATCATACTTATTCAATCCGAGAAACTGGATTACATGAAGAAGAATGTAGCATCAAGATTGAAGGCAAACTCACTAACCACCTGCAAGATGGAGATGATACAACCTTGCTGATTGAAAGTGTAAAAGGACTTACAATGCTTACCGATGAGGAGGATCCAAGAGCTCAGCCTTCAGTGTGGAATGCACCTCAATGTAAAGAAAACAAAATCCTCACCACTGGACCAATAATGACACCATGAAAAATACAGAAAAGACAGATGGCATCAAAGACTTCATCCTTCTTGGATCCACTACCAACACTCGTGGAAGCAGCAGCCAAGAAATCAAACAACGTGTTGCCTGAGACAAATCGGCTGCACAAGACCTCTTTAAAGTGTTCAAGAGGAAAGACAGCAGTTTGAGGATTAGGGTCATTTTGGTAGCCTCACACATCTGCATATGAAAGCTGGACAAGGACTAAAGATGCGTGTGAATGCGTGTGAATGAAGGTGCTGGAGACGAGTATTAAAGATACTGTGGACTGCCAGATGCTCCTTAGAAGCCAGGACAGTGAGACCAGTCCCTGAAAAAGACTGTCATGCTTGGTAAAATGGAGGGTCAGTGAAAAACAGGAAGACTCCCAATGAGCTAGGCTGACAGAGTGGCAGTAGCAATGGGCTCAAATGTTTAACAGCAGTGGTGAGGATGCCTCAGGACCGGGCAGTGTTTCGTTCCGCTGTACCTAAACTCGATATGAGTCAGAACCAACTTGTCCCTGACTTGAAGGAACCTGGCAACCACATCACCATAGGTGTATCTTGTACTTTTAGATCAAAGACCACAGCCTTCTGTATGAAATACACCTCAGTGTAAGGAACAAGAATCCTCACCACTGGACCAATAAATGACACCATGAAAAATATAGAAAAGATTGAAGCAGAATAAACAAACAGGAGACAATGGGTTATTTCTTTGTACAGTATAAAATTTGTTACATCTAATTTTTTTTAATCTAACCAGATTTAAGATTTTGACCTGAACTGAAGCTGAATCTCAGAAAATGTAGTGTGATTGTTGGTGGCGTGTGCCAGTTGGTTCCAGCTCATGGTGACCCAGACAGAGATTTTCAAGGAGTGGTTGGCACGTCCGAACCACCGACCTTGTGGTTAGCAGTCCAGTGTTTAAATAGAATGACAGCCATGTGCTGTCGTGTTAGGTCTGACTCATAGTGACCCCTGTACAGGGCTTCCGAGGAGCATCTGATGAGTTTGAACCGCCAACCTTGCAGCTCAAACCAACCTTCCAGTCTAGTGCTTATCCTACAGCGCCACACCAGGACTCCAAAATATAATAGTGCAACATTAATATAATGAACTATTTGAATCAAACATTTGTATTTATATTTATGATCCTAAGGAGATAAGTTATCACAACTAGGAATTCATACTTATGTTTCCAAATGATCTAAAGCATGGAAAGTGGAGCTGTAACTCATGGAATGTGCACGTTTTCAGAACTGATGAGTCTATCCTGAGGGTGCAGACAGTAAATGCTCTTGGCTACTAGCTGAAGTCCACCCAGAGGCACCCGGGAAGCAGGGTCCAGCAATCAATTTCCCTATTACCAGCCACTGTACGGAGCCCAGTTCTACTCTGACACACATGCCAGGGCCGCCTCCTAGGAGTCAGTCATTGTGACCTTTACGGCGGTGTCTACTGGTCCCAGGTTCTCTCTTCAGGAGGACAGTTTGGTGCGCTCATGATTGTGGGCCCACCGCCTGTGTCCACATTCCCTTCAGGCAGCACCCCCACTCCGCTAGTGGGGAACTTTGTTGTTGCTGTTAAGTGCTGTCCAGTCAGTTGTGACCCATGTCAACCCTGTATAGAGTTTCCCAGGAGCAGCTGGTGAGCTTGACTTGCGGTTCAACCGACTGCAATCCAGCGCATTAGCCCACAGCGCCACGGCAGGACTCTTAGGGTCCTAGAACTTAACCAGCCCAAGCCCACTGTCCTTGAAGGAAGAACCAGAACTAGAGCCGGCTGTAAACTAGTGCCCTCTTTCATCCCTGGCACCTCTGTCCACACCCCTAGTCCCCAGGAAGGTAACAGAGGCCAAAGCTGGGCTCCAGGTGCAACTGCCTTTCCACGGGCTGTGGACACACCCTGCATGTATGCACACACTATCCCCATGAGCACCACTGGGACTGACTGGGACCACCATCACTGAGAACCACCTTCCTGGGGCCCACACAAGTTACCACAGACAGGCAGACAGGGTGAGCATGTAGGGGTCCTCAAATGTTGGGCTGACCTGACCCCACTTTGTGTCCTGACACCCTCTGGCTGCAGGTCTCCTGATCTATCACTTGTAGCTCCCAGCAGGTCACAGACAGTGGGCAGGAAGAACTTTGGCCACCTGCCCGCACACCCAAGAAGGCCATCCCCATGGATGACCGATGCCACGCCTCAGCAGGGGTGCTGCCTGTCCCCGGCACGATGAAGTCCCTCAGAGCCCTGTTAATAGGATTCCTTTAGCCAGCAGATGGATTGCGAATACAGGCAGTTTCATCTACTAAAAGACGCCATAAATCACGCCTGAGAAAAGAGAGGCTGGGGAAGGTTATCACTACACAGCCTTCCCCGTGAAGGGCCCGCCTAGGAGCATTAGTGAAATTAATCCATCTTTCATATGAGCTTGGAGCGGCATCGTGATCTATGGTAACAACCAATTTCTCACCACGGGCAAGAGGGAAAAATGACCCAGCCTGATCGAATACACAAATCTGCTTTTTAAAAACGGTCTCCCATTATGTGGAGTGCCGCTCCCTGAGGCCTCATCGGGATGCACGCGGAGCCAAGCACGCCCATAAATCAGCAGAGGGAGTTTTGTTAGTTTTATATGCAGTGGGCTGTAATTATTTGGAATTGCATTCTGCCTCCATCATTGTAATTACATTTAGATTATCCGTAAGTGATGGTAATAAAAGAAAGAGAAATCAGTCTTAAACCAATTCCCTCTCCTAAAATGTGCTCAAGTAAAGCTGAAGGTTCCACACACAGGGACACAAGGGGAGAGACGAGACTGATGGGCAGCACCTCGTGCTAAGGACACGGGTGGGTCTTAAGTGGTTTGTATGTATTCGTCCTGGTGTGTTAGAACTCTGGGACTGAAGATTTTCCTTCTGTCCTTTTCTTGGCTGACAGGACCCAGAACTCATTTCTAGGTGAGAGGTCATTGGTTGACATTTGATGTGTCTTCAGACAAAAGAGGAGTCCTGGTGTGGTGCTGTTCAAAGCCTGTTTTAAAGGCAAGGTTGGCGGTTCAAGTTCGCCAACTGCTCCTCAGAAACCCTATGTAGGGTCACTATGGGTTGGAACCAACTCGACGGCACTGCTGTGTCTAAGGAAATCACATGACCTAACAGGAGGCAAGAGCCTCTCAAGGAGGTTGTGGTCTCACCTGCACGCAGCACACTGACCTTCTGAGACCCTGCAGGCTATCTGCCCCTGTGAGGTCACTCCATCCAGAGGCATGACACATCTGGACCCATGGAAATGACCCTTCACTCTCTCTGCCTACAACAGGGCACACTGGCTCTCCAGAGCCCTGCCTGAGACATCCACCCTACCTCAGCAGAGGTTCCCTCCAGGGTCCGACCACAGCTGTGTACGCCGGTTAGGTGCTCTGGGTGGAGAGCCAGGACTGGAGGGCAGAGGCCTGGAGGATGGAGCAGCAAGCACTGGGGATGCCAGGTCAAAGGGCCTAACAGGCCCAGCCTACCCCCTGCAGTCCAGCTCCTCTCTCCTCACAGGCCTGCAAACCCCAAGAGAAGCCGTGGCCAACAGGCAATGTTCCCAACGACCCTGCCAGCCTCCAAGATACATTGCTCCTATGCCAAGGCCTCTCTCAGGCCTGCGTGTCCTGAACTCCACTGAATCCCCCTCACTGAACATCCCCTCACTGAACCCCTGCTCACTGAACCCCCTGAGCCCCTGCTCACTGAGCCCCCCTTACTGAGCCCCTGCTCACTGAACCCCCCTCACTGAGCCCCCCCTCACTGAACCCCCCTCAATGAGCCTCCCTCAATGAGCACCCCCTTAGTGAACCCCTTTCATTAAGCCCCCCTCACTGAACCCCTGCTCATTGAACCCTTCTTTCTGAACCCTCCTCACTGAACCTGCTCTTCACTGACATCCTCAATCCATCTTGAGCCCCTCTCTCTACACTAAGGCCCCCTCCTCACTCAGGCCTCCCTCACGGAGACCTGCTGCCACCGTGGCTGGTCTTCGTAGGCTGCTGCAGTCAGGGTCCACCTCCCTGGGCCCTGCCTCACCAGCCACCAGAGCAGACACGAAGTCGGGTGAGCAGAAAAGAGGAGTGAGGCTCACTACATACAATGGTGACTGTACCAGTTGGGAGAGGGGGCAAGGGAGCAGCCCAGTGGTGTGCTAGGGAGCCCAGGTGTGGCCAGAGGACACTTGTCCCTATCCTTGGCTCCACAGGACACCAAGGACAACAATTCCCTGGTCCACACAGTCCTGGGGCCCTGGACAGCACAGGGTGAGTGTGAGGTACAGGACTATCAGATCCTCGCACAGCAGCATGGGTGCCGTGCAGCCAGCTGAAGAGAAGGTTCCAGAATATCAGAGCTTCTTCCTCCAGACTAGGTTAGAGTTCTGACCCCCATGGTTCCTCCTGTTCCTTAGTGGGAAGAAGCCAGAGGCCAATCGCCTGCACAGCTGACCCCTCACAGTTCCCACCAAGATGAGCCAGAGATAAGGCCTGTCTGGGCCAGGACAATGGGCTCTGAAACCCATTCCTCTGTGGAATTGCAGCTCCTCCATTTCTGTGAGGATGCAAAGCACCTCCTGTCGTATCCGCAGCCTCAGAGATGGCACTGTTGGAACACTTCTCACCATGCAGATGGCCTCAGGGGTGGAGCTGGGGGAACCACCTCAGGACACACAGAC